TATCTTTTTTTTTTTTTTTTGGAGAGGTTTTCGCTATAGGGCGCGTGTGCTCGCCAGACAAACAGAGAGAGACAGAGAGACAGAAAGTGAAAAATCACCCCCCAGGGGGGATGGTCACGCCGCAATCCCTTCTCCATTCTCCTCTCGGGATCTTGGGCATGCATGCACATGCACCCAGCGTGAGTTTTAAGCCACCAGATCCGGGACGCGAACCGCGGTCAACTACGTGGGAGTCCAGCGACATAGCCATTATGCTAACTGCTGGTTCCCAAGGCTTTTATCTATTTTTAATATGTAAATACATCTGTGACTTCTGAATTTTGATTAAGACATTTATACATCTAATTTACTCAAGGGTTTTCCAAGAGTTTCTTCCAAGAGTTTTATTGGTTCTATTTATATTTACCTTTAAAATATCAGCAATTAATTTTTATATGTAGGGAGAGTAGCGATCCATTTAATAAAAGTATATTTAAGGGTCCAGGAGTTGGCGTAATGGCTATGTCGCTGGCCTCTCATTTAGTTGATCACAGTTCAAGTCCCAGACCTGGTGGCTTAAACTCATGCCAGGTGCGTGTGCATTCATGCCCAAGATCCTGAGAGAAGAATGGAGGACAAGGGATTGAGGCATGGCCATCCCCCTTGAGGGGAGATTTCTGGCTTTCTCTCTCTCTCTCTCTCTTTCTCTCTGTCTTTCTGGCAAGTGCACTTGCCCTATAACAAAAGCCTCTCAAAAAAAAAAAAGTGTATTTAATGTGTACTATGCACTTAAGCACCATGTCTCTGAGATAAAAGGAAATCAAACACCTTTTAGCATCTCTAAACTCCTACTGCAGAGCACCAGTGAAAAGACAAACTGACATCAAGACCCAAGTCCTGATTCCTACCACACAGAAACTTCTGGTCCCACTGTAAATAAATAAATAAATAAATAAATAAATAAATAACAGGTAAAAATAGTAAAAAGTTTGGGATTAGGTTTTATATTAGTTTTCCAGGGCTGTTGTAACCAAGTACCACAGATTGGCTAGCCTCAAGAACAGAAGTTTAGGGGACAGCAAGTGGCATGGTGGCTAGGGCACTGAATCCCACATGGCCAACTGTGTGGTTTGAGTCTCAGACCAGGCAGCTTGAAAAACATGCCAGGCACATGTGCATCCTTGTCCAAAATCCTGAATGGGAAAGACTGTAGCAGGGTTATTCCCTTCTGGGGGGAGATTTCTCACTTTTCCTCTCCTTCTCTCCGGCAAGTGCGTATGCCTCATAGCAAAAGACTAAAATCAAACAAACAAACAAACAAACAAAAAAAACACACAGAAGTTTATTTCTTCAGTTCTGGAGACTAGAAAGAAGGCCAAGATTGGAACATTAGCAAAGTTGGATTCCTCTGAGGCCTCTCTCCTTGGCTTGTAAACAGCCTTCTTCTAGCTGCTTCTTCCCTTTGTCTTCTCTCTCTGTGAGTCCATCCTAATCTCTCTTTCTCATAAGAATGCCAGACATACTGGATTAAGGCTCACCCTAATGGCCTCATTTTAACTTAACTTCCCTCTGTAAAGAACCTACCTGTAAATACAGCCACATTACTGGCAGTCAAGATGTCAACATGTGAATTTTGAGGGGACATGAGTTAGTCCATAATAGATTTCCCATGGATGGTACAAGCAGCAAGTCCCATTGGGATTCAACAAGAGGGAGTTCACTGGGAAGTCAAGACCGAAGGCTGGCAATGAAGGATACTTAACATGTCAGTGAAGGTATAAGAAACTTTTCTGTAAGAGAAGGAGAATAAACAAAATTATAGCTATAAATGCCATGGGTTGGGATTCTACTGAGTAACTGGACTGATCAGAGGCAAGAGTTCAAAGTGAGAAAAAGTGGAGAAACAATGGGAACTGTTGAGATTATGAATAGCCTGGATTTAGGAGCTTGATGAGAAGGAAAAAGGCATCATCCTACATTTTTGAAAAATGAACCTTTATAATTAAAGTGGTATTTAAGGAAGGGATATCTGGTTTTCCATTATGACATAATGCATGGAGACCAGGATAAGACCCTGCCACAAATATTAAATGACTTTATCTCAGAGGGGTGGTACTCATTAATAAGAAGGAATGGCGGATAAATATTAGACATTTCAAAGAATGTGTCAAAAAAAATGATAGACGTTGATGGTTGCTTGTCTATAGAAAATGAAAAAGAGGGTGAGGCGAAGGTGACATCATAGGTTGAACGTGGGAGATAGAAATAATGCGCCATTGATGTCACAGCGTATAGAATCCCAGACGCAGGAGGAAGAGGCCTGGTTCACTTGAGCCTGCATGTTTGAGGCAAAAATATTCAATAGGAAATAAGAAATTAGGGCAGTAACTTTCGTAGAGTGAGCAAGTAAACCTGAGGTGTGCAGGAGGAAGACATTCATATGGAGTTCACTGTGGAAATTGCAAGGAGCTTGGAGGTAGATGATTCAATTCAGGAGGCAAGGGAAAGACTATTCATCCAGAAAACTTGTATTAAGTATATGCTCTTGGTCGTGCATTTCCTTAAGAGCTGGAAATACAAAGATAAATAAGATGAGCTGTCTGCCTTTAGAAACCTCATCCTCAGACATGAAGGCAAGGGGAGGTCGATAATGTTTAATGAAGAAGAGGTCAGAGATAATAAGGACAGATAAAGGGCCTTTGGATTTGTCAATCAAGTGCACCCTTGACCTTCTAGAAGGCATTTTTAATAGAGCCTTAATAATAGAAATCAGATTGAATGGGGAAACCTTTGATCAGAAAACAGAGACAAGATCAAGAATTCCTTTATTCCCAGAATCTTTTTGCTTCTCACTGTCATAGCATGTATTCAGATTCTTTATCACCTCCAATTTAAGTACTCTGTAATACAATAATAATGCTTTCATATTACAATTCAAACCTTAATACAATGAAGTTAAAATTTAGTCACAGGCCACTTTTATATATTTCTAAAAATATTAAAGATATATAATGACTCGCTACTATGTTTTTATGTTTCTTGCCACTTAGAGTCAAATGAGTAATATAAGTGAGTATGACCAATACGTTTTAAAATGGTAAAACTTTGTAATAGCCAATAGCTATTGAATAATCATCACTGCAGGGATGATAATAAGCAGGAAGGAAAAATAAAAGGCCACTATTTATAGTGATGGCAAGAACTCAGGTTGTACTGCCTTTCCTTGTGCCTTTGAAAGCCTAAGATAGGATCCAGAAATGGCTCAGATATTTGGTCTTCCTTCAATTCCTTTTTCTGTTCCGATGGAGAAAGAAGAGAGAAATGAGAGGTGAACCTCCAGGGATTGGTAGGAAAAGTGCTATTATTAATCCCTATTAATGTGTTCTTTTTTTTTATCTAATTTTCTTTCATTTTATTCACAAAAAGACAGAGAGCCAGCTTGTGGCTTGGTGGTTTAGGGATCCAGATCCTATGTGGTCAGCTGCACAGTTTGAATCCCAGACCTGGCAGCTTGAAAAACAAGCGTGGAGTGTGTGTGTGCATGTGCCCCAAATCTTAATAGGAGGGAGAAATGGTGGAGAAAGGATCACAGCTTGACCACTCCTCATCGGGTGGGAGAGAGGTGCTCTCTCACTTTCCCTTTCTGTCTCTGTATCTTTCAGGCAAATACACCCACCCTCTGGCAACTAAAAACCGAAGGACAGTAATGTATGATTATTTTGATTTTCTCTGATTGGCATGGTTCCGTGCATTACAACTCTGTGAAGTAATCCCACTAGCTGATCGTGGTTACTCACTACAGATTTTCCATACATTTTGAAATGAATGAGCCGGATGGTGCTAGAACGTGAATGCTATTGTGATAAATATGTTCACCCACTAGGCTAAGCATTGGTCCAGCAAGCTAGACTTGTATGTGCTTTCCACGCTAGGTGAAGCTGATTTAAACTGCTAATCACCATTTCTGACACATATTACACATTACTCACTGGTTTGATTGGGTAGACTTGGTTTGATTAGTATAGCTCCGGGCAATTCTGTTTCTCTGTATATTTCCACATCTGGGGATGAGAGATCATCCCTGCTCCTTTACCATAGGCAAGAAGCATCTATTATTGCCCTTAAAGTCCTGCTAAGAAGTAAGTGCTCAGAAATCCGCTGGACATAGCCATTTCTTAGGAAACACTCATAGCTAACTCTCCCCCAACCCTAATGTATCTGTCGAAGAGCCACCCCTGTACAATGGAGTTGGCGCGTGGGTGGTCGAGAGTCATACAAAATACTTAGCGAGCCTTATTCAACCTGTAGATAGGAAGCCAGTTGTAGTGACACCGAGAGCCAGTATGCAAGTCACAGAAGTTCTGCCTGAGTTGCCCAGCCTTGAGGACAGGCCTGCGTGGACAGAAAGAGCAGGACAAGGTGACAACATGTATTTCTCATCGGTCAATATTTTAAAAACAATATTTTAAAAAGTCTAAGGTTCGAGGGCCTATATTTTGGCAAAAGAATAGATTAGGCTGCCAGAAAAGAGTCAAGCCCGTGAATGAGCAGCCCCTTCTTTGGGGCCGCCACGTAGGAGGTGGTGCTAGAAAGGGAAAACCATCCAGCGCTTGACTTGGGGAGAAGGGCCACCTAGTGAGCCTGGTGCAAGGAGAAGGAAGGGGAGCCAGGGACCTGCGAGCCCAGTCACCCTTTTCAAAGTTTTACCGACACCTTTGACTCTTCCCCAATCCACTTCCCAAATCCCTGTACCGTATTCCACATCACCACGCTAGCCTTTCTTTTCTTTCTCTTCTTTCTTGTCTTCTCCTCTGCACTCAAAGTCCTAAGCTGCCAAGCGACAGGAGGAAAGTGCACGGTGAGCAGGGCGATCGTGGTTGGTTGGGAGGACCAAAGCATTTCCACTTGGTCTCAGCTTTAGCCTCAGGTGTATGAGTAGAATTTCTTTACCCCAAAAGTAGAACACTGTTTGATGGTAGTCTCTGTCATTGAATATTTGCTTATGATCACCTTTCTTATAGGTATCTCTAAAAGAGAAGAGCCAAAAATATTGAGAGCCCCAAGACGACCCCGGAAACCCAAAACTTTAAATAACCCTGAAGACTCCACATACTATTATCTACTACATGTAAGTGGCTCGCTCTTATTAGCAGATGGGAGCCATAGCATGCACGAGAGACCAGAAAACTGTGAAAACTGCGGCTACATAGTTCTGTCACAGGAGAAGGCCTGGCAAAATGGAGATGCCCCTTGATTTCCCTAACTGCCTCTCCCGTGGCTGAGTGTCTAGCACTGTGCTATCCTCAAGACTCTCTTCCTCAAGGTCCAAGCCTCTCCCATAGTCACATCCTCCCAACAGCTTTCTCTACTGGTCTGTTAATCCAGGCTAATAGACAGGAGAAATGCATCTCAGCAGGAGCACTCTGGAGAGGGACCTCACTGTAAATGGGTGGTTATGGGGGAAATAGAAGAAAGGGAATGAAAGGGAGAAGTGGCATCTGTTGAACATCTTTCCCATTGCAGGCCTACACAGAGATATGGCCATGTCTATTGTGCAAACGAATTCTAGAAACAGCCCTCGTTGTTATACCCGCAGCTCACACATCACGATTCGGAGACACAGACGCACTTTCTAACCGTCTTCTGACTCCATGGCTCCTGCTCTCTCATGGTCTGTAGAATGAGAACTCATTGCACCAGGCCCGCCAGCTCCGTCTTCCTCACCCATTCC